TACTCTTGAGAACTGATTGAACATACACTGACTTAAGCTTCGGAGGCTCTTCACCGAAAAACCCCTCCGGTGTGAGAGTTCTTTGTAGGTGCACGACGTTCAACCGGCGAGAAGGAAGGCGATAGTACGAAGAGGATGCGAGCAGCACACGATAGGAAGGTGAAAGTACGAAGATTCCAAGTGGGTGACTTGGTGTGGAAAAGAGTTGATGTGTTGAAGCATGTTGGAAAATTAGAGCCGAACTGGGAAGGACCATACCTGGTCGAAAAAGTCCATGCTGGAGGGGCATACTCTTTGAAGGATGCGGAAGGAAGATCTCTAGCCAGGTCATGGAATGTAGCTAACTTGAAGAAATATTATGCTTAAAATTTTTCTTTTTTATTTATAAAGAAACTCGATGGAACCAATGTAATGAATTCCTTCACTTGATAATCAATGAAGTGGCGTACTGGAATTTCTGCCATTTATTGTTTATCGAATTATTTCATATAGCTGGAATTCCTGGATTAAACCTGATGACAGGTCATATGCAAAAAATTCATAATGAATAAGGCCATGAGGCTGGATGGTCGAATGTAACGACCACCCCTGTGAGGGTGGACATGTGTTCGAGATAAAAAGCCATCATGATTAAGGTCATGAGGCTGGATAGTCGCATGTAACGACCACCCCTTTGAGGGTGGGCATGTGTTCAAGATAAAAAGCCATCATGATTAAGGCCATGAGGCTGGATGGTCGCATGTAACGACCACTCCTTTGAGGGTGGGCATGCGCTCGAAGAAAAAATTCATCATGATTAAGGCCATGAGGCTGGATGGTCGTATGTAACGACCACCCCTTTGAGGGTGGACATGTGTTCAAAAGGAAAAATCCATCACGAATAAGGCCATTAGGCTGGATGGTCGCATATAACGACCACCCATTTGAGGGTGGGCATGTGTTCAGAAATCTAAAACCCATCATGAATAAGGCCATGAGGCTGGATGGTCGCATGTAACGACCACCCTTTGAGGGTGGGCATGCGCTCGAAGGAAAAATCCATCATGATTAAGGCCATGAGGCTGGATGGTCGCATGTAACGACCACTCCTTTGAGGGTGGGCATGTGTTCGAGATAAAAAGCCATCATGATTAAGGCCATGAGGCTGGATGGTCGCATGTAACGACCACCCCTTTGAGGCTGAGCATGTGTTCAAGATAAAAAGCCATTATGATTAAGGTCATGAGGCTGGATGGTCGCATGTAACGACCACCCCTTTGAGGGTCGGCATGTGTTAAAAAGGAAAAATCCATCATGAATAAGGCCATTAGGCTGGATGGTCGCATGTAACGACCATCCTTTTGAGGGTGGGCATGTGTTCAGAAATCAAAAACCCATCATGTTTAAGGCCATGAGGCTGGATGGTCGCATGTAACGATCACTCTTTTGAGGGTGGGCATGTGTTCAAACGCCTAAAACCTATCATGTAGCCCCTGACTTCTTCTTCAAAGGAGTCTTCCTCAGGGGAATGTTGAAGTTGGGCACCTCTGCGAGAAAATAACGAAAGATTAACAAAGGATAATTAAAACAAACACAGAAGAGTGTCGAAGCATTCGAGCGAGCTAGTCGAAGATTACCTGGTCATTCTCGATCCGGATAAGATCGAGGATCTCATCACTGGAGGAGGACAAGTCTTGTGGATGAGAAGACCACAATAATGAAGGAGGTTCTCATCCTTGAGAAGTTTCTCGGACGCAACGGACTTGGAATTCCAAGTGAAGACCCGTTGGTCGAACAAAGGGTTGGGAGGAGGGGCAGAAGCCGCCTCTCGCGAAACTTCCTTGACCCAGGGGACAAACAGCCAAGGAAAAGGAGCATCGGACCGGACGAAGATAAACTTATCACTCCACTTGGGGAGATTGGAGGGGATATCATTGATGAAGTGGGCGCCATTGCGGCTCTTTAAATAGAGGCCACGACATTGCTTAGAGGGGGCGTAGCAATAATGGAAGAAGTCTAGGTCGAATCGACCTAAACAGACGCGGCAGAGGATAATAAAGATGGTCATAAAACGAATGGCGTTTGGGGGGAGTTGGTGCAAAGAAAGCCTAAACCATTCACAAATCTGAAGAAGTTCAGGGCATAGGGGAAAGCGAAGGCCGAGTTTAAACTGGATTTCGAAAAATGTATAACAGTCTCTCGGGGGATGATCGTATTTATCAGAGGAAGAAGAGCTAAAGAACGTCCAACCGAGAGGTTGTCCGATCTTTTCAGGATCATACCAAGGATGGGAAAGAGAAGTAGAAGATGGACGCCTTGAAGAAGCGTTAGAGAGTTTTTTGGTCGAGGCCTTATTGGAAGGAGAGTTAGAAGTACCAGGCTGAGAAGAAGAAGGAGAATGTTTGAGGAAGGAGCATACGTGGGTTGAGGGGAAACGATCTCGTCCTCCTCGGGCTCGTCTAAAGCACCGAGGGCAGGTCGACGACGGCGGAGAGGAATGTTATCCATAGTGTCCACGGAATTAGAAGAAGCAATATGGGCGGTAAAAACACGGGCAGGAATGGTATCGCCGGACCGAAGGATAGAAAGAGGAACAACTTCGAGGGCTGAGGGCAAGATTTGAACCGAGTCGGAGGAAGTGGTCGAGGTGGCAGGATCTGAAAACAAAAAAGAAAGGAACAATATCAAAAAGAGGAATTTGGACAAAGAAGAAAGAAGAGAAGGTTTTCAAAATTAGGTTTCTACGAAAAGGGCGATTTTGGAGAAACTGAGGAAGGAGAACAAGGATTCCGGGAGAATTTCAAAGGGAGAGGACGAAATCTACAACGTGAAAGCC